ATTTTTTTTTTATTACATAAATTACGTTGATTTTAAAAAAAGTCAAGTAAAAAAGGTGATTATCTTGACAAAAAAAAACTAATATTCTTTAATACGTCTTTTGTAAAAAATTTTGTAAAATATATTCTTTGTAGAGCTTTCAAATACTTTTATTTTTTATTTCGTTACAAAACAATGAGTTGTATAGGAGGCAGAAAAAATTATGTAGCTGATCAAAATTTTTTTTTAACTCACAATCAGATCGTCCTTACTCCTAGCACTTAGCCTGCTAACCTACAAGTGCTCCGCTTCTCTCGTGATTACCTCGATCTCCTTAATTGGCTTTACAGCCCTATATTTCTACAGAGTAAAATAATAAAAAATATGTTAAATTCGTAGGTTTGATTTGATTTTATGTGATAGAGATTAATAGTCTCAAACTTTTCAACTAGCAGTGTATATAAATCAAATTACGATAATTTGAATAATCTATTGGAATAATGGCTATCCCTGTTTAAAAAATCCGATAGAACTAGATAAGAAGAAATTTATACAATTCTATCGTATTTTTGGTTCGTAAATATCAGATTTATCTTTTTTACTCTATTTAGTATAATTCAAAAGTCATCTTTAAGTAATGTTTATCTTTGACCATATTTAGCCAAAATTGATATCATCGTACAATGTTTTCAGTTTATATATGATTTATTATGTAATATTTTAATTTTAGAGATTTTGTATCTTTTATATAAATAATAATATATAATAATTTTAATATTTCTTACAAATATAATAAACTGTGTAACAAATCATAATTTTTAATTTTGATTATAGATAACTCGATAAGTTATATATAAAAAAACATATACGTTTAAATTTGTATTTAAGTGTATTTAATGTTTAAGTAAGATGTACTATTAAAAAACAATAGAAATAGATAACTTGTCTATAGTAGCTCAAATGTGGATCCGATAGAAACGACAACTTTATTATAAAATAAGATAAAATTTCAATAAATTTAAATCTATCTATTGGATCTTTTAAGTGGAGACATTATAATTTCGCTTACTCTTACGAAAAATAGATTTAATAGTTTACATAAAGACACTTTATTACATTATACATAAAATATGTGAAAATATATATATATACATATATATATATTCTTGGAGAGGCGTCATCGTTAAACGTGAAATGGCAAAGCTTATGCAAAGGATCTATCGCGAAAACCTTGTAGCATCCAAGATATCCACGATACCCTCTGTCCCCCGGGACCTCTTTTATCTTTTCAATCTCTTTTGAATAATTATCTTACTTTTATGTAAAAATAGATTTGATGGTTTACACACAAAAGCAGCTTCATAATACATAAAATATGTATTATGAAAATATTCTTCGACAAGCATCATCGTTATTGAACGGACAGAAGAACTTTTTGTAAGGAACCCATCGCGAGAGCCTTGCAGGCATCCAATATCCATAGTGCCTTCTGTCCCGCAGGACCTTTCACCTCCTCAATCTCTTTCGGCGTTCTTTTGTAGTGGCTCGCGTCGATGCACCATCATCGCGTCATTCTCGAATCAAACACATGTCTCTCGTTCCGGGATGCACGATGATCTTCAAGGCTCGTTAATCGCGCGACGAGCGACGCGTTTCGCCAGCTGTCGCGTTGACTCTTGACTCGTGACTTTCTCGGTGCCGCGCGCAATTTGTATTACGCACGATCGCAGAGAATTCCTGCTTGCGGAAGAGACGCAGCGCGCGCGGGGCGAGGAAGGAGGAGGGAGCGGACTGCGGAGTAATGTTGATTTTTTTTTTGCGAATTGTAGAGTACGTCAAAAGAGTGCAACGCGGCGTTCTGTCGCGGGCTTACGTTTCGCGGAAGTAACGGAACGAATCCGCGGAGAAGAGCTTATTAGCTCCTGGTCTCGAGTACAACCGCCACTTATGCGTCCCATAATTGGTATGTCCTGTTCGTTACGGATCACTATGCCGATGTCGATCGCCGTATGCAAATAGGTCAACAAAAGCGTCGCTCGCTTAGGATTTTAGCCTCGATTGCTCGGTTGCTTTCCTTAGCGATTCATTATGCCTCTTATGGAAGTGGACCCTTTAAGATTGTAAAGAATGTCATAATTCTTTAAGGTTCATTAAGTAAAGTATCTATCTCAAGGATGAGTACGCGCGGCGAGTATCACATGCAACTTTGAAAAGAAAAATCAAGGCTAATGGCTGTAAAGGCTCCGGAGCTTAATTTAGTAGCTATTTCGAAATATTATTTTTATTATGCACTTGAAATATTAAATTGCAGCGAAGAACATTTGCTGTTTATAATTAATAAATTTGGTCATTATTTAACGATTTAGCGTGAAAAAGACATTGGGGAAAAAAATCATATTAAGATAAGGATAATAAGTACTAATTCTGGATTACTCTAAGAGTAAAAATTTATATTTTTATCCAGAAAGATATCAAATCAATAACATATTTAATTGTTATAATTATAACTATAAAGAGAGAATACTTTATGGATGATTTTATTCAATTTCAATACTATTTTATACTTTTCAATTTTAATTGAATGAAATAGCTATTTCGAAATATTATTTTTATTATGGACTTGAAATATTAAATTGCAGCAAAGAACATTTGCTGTTTATATAATTAATAAATTTGATCATTATTTATCGATAGTGTGAAAAAGACATTAAAAAAAAAATCATATTAGGATAAGGGTACTAGTTCTAAATCACCTTAAAAATAAAAATTTATATCTTTATCCATAAAGATATCAAATCAATAACATATTTAATTGTTGTAATTATAACTATAAAGAATACTTTATGGATGATTTTATTCAATTTTAGTACTATTTTAGAGTTTTCAATTTTAATTGAATGAAATAATGAAAATTACCCACAATTAGATCTCTGGATCTGGTTGCGAATCAGACTACTCGTGAAATGTATTTAATTTTAACTGCGCATGATGTTGATTTTTTTTTTATAAAATCTAATACTGTTTATCACCTCCTGTAAAAATCATAATTCTTATAAGTATTAAATTTTAAGTGAATTTTTAAAGATACATCTAAATGAAACATCTAAACGTTTCATGTTTTATTATTTAACGATGATATCAATAAAGATTTGCTAATGCATTTTTGCTAATAAACAAGAAACAATAGACGATTAATAAAGCTAACACAAAAGAATCTTGAATATGCGCCATTCAATAAAAAATATAATAATTACTTAAATACAATTATTTAAATTATCCAAAACCATAAAAAGTGCTCGCTGCACATTTAGTGCCCTTAATAACCAATATAAAAATCTGAAATTGCAATTTAAATATTGTTTCAATCGCTAAAATAGTTATACCCAATAGAATTGAAACAATTATAGCGACATGCTCATAATTTCAAAAATATAAAACTAATAAAAATAACAGCTGTCATTAAATAATATCTATTAATTGCATTAAAAGCTTTTTTGTTCTTTATTAAATTATCTAGAACCGTCTCACGAAACCATAAATTTTAATAAACAAATTTCAATTTAATAAATTGAAATTAAATAAAGAAAATTATTGCGCGATAATCGGTTTATATACTGCAAAAACTAAATAATTGATGATCAGGCCATTAAATAAAATGTATCACAATCGACGTGGAATTATGTTAGTGCTGCTCCGGCGATATAATATACATACATATACATATATATTTGTATATGTTTCGTCCAAGCTATATTATATATATATATATATATAGCTTGGACGAAACGCGCAATGGAGAATTTACTGGTTTCGCCGTCATTAATTACACGGCATTACACTCACAGTAATTGCCGGCTATTTAACGCGCCGGAGAGTCGAACTTTTACTAGAAGACGCCTCGCAGCGTTCTGGCAGCAGTGGAACACGTATCATTCTGTAGCAACTGCGGCAATACTAACTACGCAACGTCGCAACTGCAAATGCACGAAGAATCATGAAAGGTGCAAGTATTGGCGCAAAAGAAAAAAAATAAATTCACTCGCCAGCTGTCTTAATTATTTCAAAGCGTTTCCCTCTGCACGCGTGTCACGTTTTATCGTCGATCTATTGTGATTGAATGACAAACAATAGTATATCGCTACAAGAAAATCGTTCTGCATAAAGATGACACTGAACGAGTATAAGTCGTTCGCTTGACAGATGCAAATTTTCTTGCACCTCTTATATAAATCAAAAGGCATGCATGTATCTTTTTATAGTTCGATTTAATAGTTTGTTGTACAACGGTCTGCACTGACTGACAAATTCGAATTTAAAAAAAGAATCGAGAGATTTATATTTAATATAACTGATAAGAATAAGAAAAAAATAAATTATGATAATTGAAATCAAAGTTATGGAAATTTTCCATTCAATCGCTTAAAATTCACGCATATAAACGAATGCTTCGGACTTTCAATATTGTGTCAGCACAGAAATACATTGATGAATAAAACATTTCAATATATATACATATTGAAATTATATATACATATATTGTCAATATAGTATAGATAATATAAATAAATCATATATAAAAATGATTTAATTATATAAAAATATGTATATATAAACATAAATCATATTTATATTAATACATTATACATTCTGTTCCGATGATTAAATCTACATAATGTGCGACTTTCTCGTTTCACGTTCGAGGCCGAGATATAAATTGGGGATAACAGGTGCCGAACGTGACGATTCGGTTGATAATAGCTTACAAACGTCCGCGAGGGAGATGTACAAATCCGTGACTGTTTAACGCCCGCGGGCCGCTATCGCCGTAGAAATAGACGTATAAATTCTTTCAGCGAAAGTTACACACATTTCTCCGTGGCGACCCGGCAGGCCAAAGAAAGAAAGTAGCAAGAAGCAAGCCGGGGTTCCACTTTTCCGGCTGCTGCGTACGCGGCCGAATGTTGTATACGAAGATCGAGCGCGCGTTTCTTATCTCTCTTTTTCCCCCTTTCTTTTCGCAGCGAGTAATGAGCAGCACGACAAGGACAGCCTGAACGAGACCGGAAGTACAACGGGTGGCACCGTGGAGGGCGCGCCGGGTGGTGGCGGCCCCAGCAGGGGGGGTGACAGGACCAAGGAGGACCACGCGCAGGCATCCACCTCGGCGCCACCGGCGAGATCCTTGGTCTCCAGAATCCTGGCGAGGACACGGTCGCCCGAGGATCTGCTGGATCATTCGGAACCCTAGTAAAATCTTGGACTTATTATTTTTTATCCTAATTACATTTACCTACAGAGGTTTATTTTTTTTTTAAGGCGCCTTCATTTGTATCGAAAAATTTATTTATTTCCTCTCTGCTCTTATTTTACTTATTTTACTTACATTTTAATTGTGGACTTGATCGAAATTCTATTAGAGAGTAAAATGTAACGGAGACCTCATGAGTATTTGAAATACAATTTGTATTTTATATTTTGCATTTTAGCGGAGCACATAAAAGTATTTTAATATTTTGTATTTTAAAAGAATTATTCAATGTATTTTGTATTTCAAATATAATTTCAATTTATTTTGTATTTAAAATACTAAAGAAATTATTGATAAAAATTCTTGACAACAATTAATAGTAACTTAAATTTTTCTCATATGACAATTAGCGACAATAATTATTTTCGTCAAGTTTCAAGCAATATCAAGTCATCAGAGTCAAATTTTATAATCTCACATTAGTAAATAGATTTCTCGTGTGGTTGATACAGGACAATAGGACTGTCAAAGAGTGTAAAAGAGTAAAACAATTTTTCTTTCTCTCTCTCTAAAAGTGGAGAGGAGACTGTTGAAGGGGGGAATTTAATATTATATATTATTGTAATTGAAAGATTAAATTAAAAAGTATTTTGTATTTAAAAGAAAAACTTAAAAGTATTTTGTATTTTGTACTTCAAAATCGAAAGATTGAAAGTATTTTATATTTTGTAATTCAAATACTACAATTCCCAGTATTTTGTATTTTGTATATTAAATACTTTAATGGTGTATTTTGCCCAGCTCTGTGTGTTTGCTGGGTAGATAATATCTCGCGACTACACACACGTCCATTAATTCTCAGCAAGTATTTCTTATATCCCCTATTATCAAATGTCAAAGAGGTTCTGATTACTAATCTTGATCACTTATTTCGTGTCACAGCTCGCAATTATGGGTGGTACTCTCCAACGTGTACGGCGAGCTGATCGTCGTGTTAACGTTGGCAGTGTGCTTGGCCGAGGTCATGGACACGCCTGTGCCTCTGCTCAGCTTGCAGGTACGCAGTGTGTGATCGAACTCGTTCGACAAGGTTCCATAAATAAATATCGGCCTTATCGCGGATAGCGGCGGATATTCGCCAAGAAAGCGAGCGTGCTCCGGGATGCAACATGCAACGCATCAAAGTCTCGAAAGTAACGTTCGCGATGTCGGACTTAGAATTATCGTACCGTTACTTCACACAATCTGGGGAAAGTCTGAGTGTCGATCGGACAGCCTTGAACTAAAAACTCGTCGATTCGGCAGAGATTCCTACTGAAAATGCTGAAAATTCCAGATCTCGTGCGATGAATAATTAATTGTTCGTTTTTATTATAGCACGTAATAATATTTCGCAGTTAGATATTTCATAATAGAATAGGAATGGACTTTGTTCAAATATTCAAAGAGATTATCTGCTTTATTCGTTGTTGGAAGTATCACGATGCAGTTATTCGATGAAATTTGCAATATCACTTAAATTGATTTAATCTAAGGCTGAGTCAACAAAATTTTCAATATATTTCATCTAGATTTACTAGCACATCTCCTGCTAAAAAGATTAATATGCACAGTTGGAAAATTTATGTTAAATTTAACACACCTCGTGGCCCAAACGATCCGTTTAAATTTTTGTGCTAATGTAATGTAAGATAAATATGAAAGTAACGCAAACATTATGTCAAAATTAACACAATTTGGCAACAAATTATAAAAATACATTTCTTCAATAAAATTAACACTTTTAATATGTTAAATCAACACACATTCATCTTTTCTTCACCATCTTTTATTCACCATCTTTTATCTTAGAAATTACGTTATAAAACTACGTTATTTCCATATTATTTACTCACTTATTCATAAATTGTGTTGTATTAACACTAAGAAATGTTAAATATTAATTTAATTCAAAACATTCAAATTAACATAATCACATTATGTTAAATTAATCTCTATATAATTAACTCTATATAATATATGTGTATATATGTTAAAAATTCAACATAAAAGTTTAAGTTTAGACATTGGAGTGAACCATTTTTAACACACATACAAAATATTTTCTACTGTGTGTTCTTCTATTTGCATAATTTGGAGGATAATCTCGAATCACATCCCCGCTTTAATTTCGAATTATTTGCACGTTATAATGCAAGAAATAGGCAATTGTGCATTATGCACTGAGAATATTGCCTGGTACCGGAATTATACGAGAGATTACCAAGATTAAAACTACATAACGATTCAATAGTCGGAATAGTCGAAACTATGTCAAGTAATAATCCCTATTGGAACGACCGTTCGTAATCTGCGGAGTTTGTGCGCATTTCGGGATTACGAGGAGCTTCGATCCATTCACGTAAATTACAGATTAGGAAACCACACGCATTAGATAAAACGGTACGTCGACGACTAGTTTCAAGGTAACCGGTTCGCTACGCTTATCAGTCCGATGATCCTCTTTCGTGCGGGTGGTCTCCGTTCAGGAAACGCATTCCAAAACGCATTCCTAGCGCATCTGCGCATTTTGCATAACGAGCGCATTCCACCATGAAGAGTAGTTAGAGTTACGTAATTGTGTCTTTCAGGGCATATTTCTCATGTACCTCTACGTGGGCAGCATCGCCGTCATCATCGCCATCTACATATGGGTGCTGGTTGACAGCTGCAGCAGCTTAAGCCGCAGTGGTAACGGGCTCGGGGACGCGGAACTCGGTAGCGCGTCGCTCACCAGATTCGGATCATTAAAGCGGGCGCATATCTCCCGGGCCAGGACGGCGCCGACCAGTTTTTACATACGAGTCGGCGCGCTCTGTAAGGGACAGCGATAATTCGCTTAAAAAATATTGACACTTCATTTTAATACCAAAATTACTGGTATTTTTATTCGTAAAACTTCAAACACTTAAGCCGGAAATTTAATATTTAATATTCATTACAAATATAATTTTAAATTTATTTGGGATTCTTATCGCTGCTCGAGATAAGAATCCCGACACTGGAAAAAACATCTGGTTGTATTAATTGAATCTAATAAAGATTCGACAAAAGACATAAATCGGATGTATTTATAGTCTAATCGATCGAATATTTTAATCGAGATAACCAATTATGATGAAAGGAATTCTGATTAGTACGATCAGAATGCATTATACATGCTTACAGGGTGGACCAAAGATACGGAAAAATTTGAAAGAGTAAAATAAAAACTTAAAACTTTATTTAATTTTAATTACATAAAAATATAAAATATAATATCAAGAGGTAGTTATTTAAATAATGTCATTTTCAAGATGTAATTAATAGTTATCAAGTGATACGGTAGCGCGCATAGCAACGCCAAATACAAATAAAAAGGGTAATGTAAATTCTTAAAAATGTTATTGTTATGTTTTATATTTTGATGTAATTAAAATTAATTGAATGAAGCTCCTAAATTTTTATTTTTTAATTTTTCCGTTTCTTTGGCCCACCCTGTATTGCTCATTAGCGCAACATTTTTCCAAAACATTTTTCTCAGTGAAATAAATTTAAAATTTTGCTCGGTCCATCAGAAAATCCTCTTTGTAGAAAAGATTTCGTTATCTATAGCGCGTACCTATACGTTTGTACAGTGTTTGGCTTGGCGACGCTGGTCTTCAACGGTCTGGAGATGGCGATGCACTCGATGATGCAGGGTGCCGAGTGCTTGACCGACGTCGTCTTCGTGCATCCGGTGCTACACGGCTTGTTCACCTTCTTGCAGATGCACTTTCTCTTTGTAAACTCGCAGGCAAGCATTCAGTCTTACGTTAATTACATTATACCGAGCGCCGAGCTCGGGTAGCTAGACAATGCGTGAACGCGTTTCTTCGTTTCGCTCTGTTGCGTCGACAGCTAACGTATCGCTAACGTGACGATGTACGTTTAAGCCAGAACGAGGGATTTTTAAAGATTAAAACTTACGTAAATATTATTGTGGAATATAAATAAAAATAAATAAAATGTGGGCTCTATGATTAGTTGAAGTACAGTTAAAAAATTTAAAAATATAATGAATAACACATACGTTTCGACCTACATCAGGTCATTCTCAATGCTAAAAAAATGTACAGTACAAATTATAGCTAGAAATTTAAACGAAAACCGGTTAATATAAAGGATCTGTACGTTATTAAATATTGTAACAATAATAAAAACGGAAATTCAAGCGCAGGTCCTCGAATAATCGCAGTGGACAGTTGTCGTGAAATCCACTGCGATTATTCGAGGACCTGCGCTTGAATTTCCGTTTTTATTATTGTTACAATATTTAATAATGTACAGATCCTTTATATTAACCGGTTTCCGTTTAAATTTCTAGCTATAATTTGTACTGTAACATTGAGACTGACCTAATGTAGGTCGAAACGTATGTATTATATTTTTTAATGGATTTTAATTAATCTTAGAGCATTAAATACCCAGCTCTGGCTCATAGCCTACATTTTATTTATTTTTATTTTGTCATTTCACTGAGGCTATCTTTATTTTATTATTTTAAATAAAATTTTATTGAAACTAGTGAGTTTCATTGAAACGTTAGAGTTCAGATATGTGATAATCGACAATGACAACTTATTATCACCCAGCTCATGCCTTATTTAAATTTATTACGTTCGTTATCACTTACTTTACTTTTATTATTTTAAACGGACATATTAATTATTCTTTTTTGTCTATCAACTGACTGTTACATTTTGACTGCACTGTAATGGAACCTCTCTTTAAAAGAAAAAAATTATTTATTTTTTCACTTTATTTTAATTTAAAAAAATGAAATGCGATCAGTAACTACATTTCTGTGACTTTCGATTATATTAATGTATTTGTCCGATTTTTATTTATTTGTTTATTCAATGGTATATATTTACTGTCTGCTATGATCTTATTCTTATCATCATTTTATAGCTTTAATTTGATTTATACCCGATTAATCTGTCTGATCATAATGCGTTTTTTATTTTAATTTACATTTGCGACTGGTGAAAACTAAATAAATGAATATTATTATCTTCGATTTTTTGCTCGTTCGTTTGGCTCTTTATATAAATATTTGTTTGTGTTATCGCCTTTAAAGTTCTAAACCAATTTTATTCCCATTCAAAAGAATGTAAATCTGTACTTGTCACCACTTGATCTTTTTTTTTAGGTGCTTGTAGAGCGCTTCGGTCTTGCAGCCAGATTCGGCTTCACACATCTCGCGGCTACCAATGTCGCGGTCTGGGCGCGTCTGGTGATTTGGGATACCGCGCAAGAATGGACTTACTTTGTACACTTGGCGCAACATGAGCAACAAACGTCCGTATCTCCCTTGAGTCTTCGGGGATTTCCCGGATCCTTGACGAGGCAATCGCGAGATCTTATAGGTATATAAATTTCATTCTTTTCACTTTGACGAATAAACTTTTCGTGAATAATTATGCATTATTGCTTATTTCAGATGATTCGACGGCGAAGGCAGGCAACTTCAAGCCCTATCAACCCGTTTCGAACGAGCAAATTTCACAAGTAATCGCGCTGCAAGAATGCTTGAATACTAATACCTTAGGACAGCTGTGGACTTCAAGCATGCCCTTCCTATATCCCTTTATTGTACAATTCAGGTACATGTTAATTGTATTAAATATTCGCCAGGTCGATTTAAATAAAATTTTTAATTCTAATTTAATTCGTTCGTCAATCAAATCGAAATTAAGTTGTGATGAAAAAATTAAACATAACTATTATAAGTTATCTAAATTTTTAATTAAATTTTAATATTTTTTAATGGAAGTCTCATTTCCTTAGAGTAACTCTCGTATTCATTTCTTCTTTCTGCAGCTTGATCGCCGCGGCGGTGACCTTCGTGATGGGTCAGAACGTCGGGCGGAGTCGATTGATGAAACAAAAATTCCACGGCAGCAAAGACTTAAGTAGTCACACCCGGGTGGGCTGCGACGGTTCTAGCAAGGGTCTCTTTCTGGGTATTCTCTGCATGGTAGCCGGTATCGTGGTGATCCTCATCTTCCTCGTCGTGCGAGAGGACGAGAACTTCCCGTCGGCCACCTTATCGTGGCTCACGTGCGGCACGCTGATCGGCATACTGACACTGAGCAGCCTAATGACAGCCAGTGGGCTCGTGCAGGTGCGCCAGATTTCGATAGTGACGCGAGCGCCGGCCGCCCTGGACAGCCTCCTGTCGAACGTGTCGCTCTTCGGGGTGCAACTCTACTCGGTCTTCACCATCGTGGTGTGCGCCTGTTCGCTGGCCATGTCGGATCAGGACGAGACGGAGGACACGCGGGCCAGGCATATCATGCTGCTGTCGATGTCGGTCCTGCAGCTGGTGCAGTGCTTCGCGCAGAGCACGCTGATCGCCGAGACGTCGCGACGCTCGTGCATAACGCGCTTCCAAATGCTGGCGAAACCCGGCCGCCAAGTGATCACCTTCCTGCTGTTCAGCAACGCCGTGCTCTGGGCTTTCGACACCGTGATCACGCAGAACTGGCTTTCGCAGGAGCTGCAGCTCCGGTTCTTCGGCGTGCTCGCCTGGGGCGTGCTGTCCAGGATCGGGCTGCCCCTTCTAATTTTCTACAGGTTCCACAGCTGCGTGCTGCTGCTGGAGGCATGGAACAAGTGCTACAGAACACCACGGGGGGAACATCCTCTCAACTGACAACGCGGAATCTCACGCCGACTCTCGTGCAGGTCCGTTGGAACTGTATACCAGTGTGTCATTAACGCTCTTGAGAATCGATTAAAACGATAATTATGGCAATGCTCCGTGTTTAGTTTTAATATTGTACTGTATGAATAATTTAAGTCTATAAATGTAGCGTTTGTTTTACATTAAACAAAGAATCTTAAATTCTCTTGAACTTAAAAGTTCAAAGGCATGTATCAATAATATACAGGGTGGACCATTTTAATCCATCCAGTCGAATATCTCGAAAAATAAGCACTAGGAAAAAATGTTTCAGACAAAAGTTGTAGGGCTTCGAGGGGGACATAAGATGATAACATTGGTTTGACTCTAAGTGGCGTCGTCAAGGTCAGGACAAGGTCACTTTGAATTTTTTAAATGGAACCCTCAATTTTTCATTACATGTTCTTATAGCACGCCTCGAGAACTTTCCAAAACACATAAATAAAATATTTTTTTATGAAATAAATCTTGAGTTATAAAGCTTGAAAGTTGGAGTACTGTCGGCATTAGCATCATCCAAGGTGTCCAAACATTAGCTAAAGATGGCCAAGGTCGTTGGCCTTTATGCCTTTATCAATGTCATGATCCTGAACAACATTCAAAAGGTTTTAACTAGTGTTTGGACATCTTGGATGATGCTAATGCCGACAGTACTCCAACTTTCAAGTTTCATAATTCAAGATTTATTTCATAAAAAATATTTTATTTATGTGTTTTGGAAAGTTCTGAGGCTATAAGAACATGTAATGAAAAATTGGGGGTTCCATTTAAAAAATTCAAAGTGACCTTGTCCTGACCTTGACGACGCCACTCAGGGTCAAACCAATGTTATCATCTTATGTCCCCCTCGAAGCCCTGCAACTTTTGCCTGAAATATTTTTTCCTGTGTGCTTATTTTTCGAGATATTCGACTGGTTGGATTAAAATGATCCACCCTGTATATATATATATATTATACA